GTTTTGTTGTTGTTGTTGTTGTTGTTTTTATCTAGATCTTACATCTTCAGTGTTAAATTTATTCTTGGGTATTCTCTTTTTGTTACTATCATTAATAGAATCTGTGTAAGTTTCCAGTAAGTTTTCTAAAAGGTTACTTATGGCAATATAAAAAATACTGATTTTCATATATTTATTTTTAAAGTAGCAACCTTAGGGAAATTTCTTATTTGTTCTTATTGCTTCTAATATATATTTTCTGTTAGAAAATACTATCTGCAAACACTGATGATGTTCTCATTTTGAACACTTGATTTCTTTTTCTTGCATTAGTGCATTGCATTGCCTCAATTTCAGAGCAATGTTAACTGATAGAGGTAATAGCTGCCACCTTGATCTCCATCTGATTTTAAGGGGGCTACCCTCAATTTTCACTGCTAAGTTTCATACTGGCTATTGGTTTGAGGGAGATGTTCTTTACCATGTGAAGGGAATATTACTATAATTCTAGTTTCCAGTTTTTTTCTTGAAGAGGATAATGAATTTTATCAGATGCCTTTTCGCCATCCATTAAGATGAGACAGTCTCTCTTGATCTATTAATTACATTCTGAAAGTCAACTTTATTTAGTCATGGTTTATAGCTGTGTTTAAAATTTAGGAACTTCTGATTATCCATTGAAAAGATTAGGTTATATTTTGTATTACTTTTTTGATGTTTTGTTATTCTAGATTTGAGCTCTGAATCGAGAAATTGTTTTTTTTCTGTTATTCAACAGTTAAATGAGCATTATTTTCTGCCTTCCTTTACAGTCACTCCAGGCATCTCAGATGCACTGGCCCTGCTAGTTCTGCTAATGCTCTTCCCTCCACTACCATCACCTCATGGTAAACTCCTACTTGCTTCTTAACACCCAGTTTAACCATCAACGCTTCTATATAGCACTCTCCCACCACTCCCATAGTACTAGCACATCCTTTATTCCAGCATTAATTCTACTATATTTTACTTGTCTATTAACCTATTTTCCCCTCTAGAATCTGAGCAGAGACAGTCATGTATGCATTAAAAAAAACCCTCAATCTCCAGTGCTTATCAGAAGACCTGGCACATAGCACATCGTTAATAACTCTTTGTTATATGAATAAGTCCATAATGCATTTTTGTTTTAAATTTTGCCAGGGAAGAAAATTTGGATGCTATGTATACTTCTTTGCCATTCTTTGACAGTAAAATAGAGATAATATCACTTACTGCCCTTCTTCACACCTGATAGAGTTACTGAGCTGGGATAATAGACGGGCAAGGATAAGGTGAAAGTGAAAGAATTAAATATAAAAATCCATAATAGTGATTAGACTTTCTCTGATATTAACAACAGGTAAAGTGCATTGAGCGTTTACTATGTTCCAGGTGTGAAATTATTAAATTTATTTTTTATAATAGCCTGTAATTTTAGGTGAGTAAATAAAATTTTAGAGAGCTTAAGTGACGTGTCTGAGGTGAAACAACTGGCAAGTCAAAGACTTTCTGAAATCAGGGTCTGCTATCTGGAAACTATTATGTATCGACTCACCAGTGAAGACAGTGTGCTCCACTGAAATGAGAAAAGCAACAAACAATAAGCCCAGGGTGAAAATTTGGTTACATACCCTGCTTCTCAGGTTTTGCTTAAGTTTAGAGCCTACCAGGAAGAAAGAAAACGATTATCTGCCTCCTTGACTTTTGCATCATTTGTGTTTCTTCTGATGAAAGTGGGGCTAATCGCTGAGTTAGGATTCCTTTATTTTTAGTCTACACTATGTTGCTTTATCCTAAAAGGATAAACATGGGCTGTGTGATGGCTGACCACCTTTCTTGTTCCTTCTATGAAGGTCTGAAAGGGCACAAGACAGGTAAGAGGAAACAGCTTTCCTTTAGTAAATAAGTTGCTAGATTTCTGAGCTCATGGCCCTGAGTTACACGTGAATGACTTTGACCTGTAATCTGAAATAAGATAGACTTCAGGGTTCACCTCCCCCACCATTCCACTTCAAAGGTGAGGTAAGGTAGAGTTGCTAAATGTACAGTATGAAGGGCATCTGGCATTTTACTGTTGACAGTATGCCAGCTCTAAGACCTGCTTATTCCATCTCCAACCATTCCTGCTTGTTCCTCACTCCAGGCTGTGACCCCCCAGAGTGAGTGATAGAAGTGGCAAGAGGTTGTTCAGTAGATTAAAGACCCAAGTCACCAGAGGCTGCCATCTCACAAGAATATTTAGACATTTTTCCACTTGGCAGTCATTAATATTCTTCAGCAAAGAGTGAAAAGAGAGCCTGTTCAAAAAGGCTCCCTCTTCAGATCTCTGTACCTTGGAAGATAAAGTGAATGAAAGGGTTTTATTTTGAAATTAAATATTCATTGGATTGAGTTAGAGCTATTACTGTTCTTGAGAATAAAACTGGATTTTTCCTTTGTTTTAAATAACTACAGTCATTTTACGTTAAGAATTCATTTCTGTACCAAATCGGTCAGGATTAACACATGGTGTGATTTTTCTAATATAATAGACACAACAGGGAAATGAATACAGAAGGGCTCAAAGTATTTTATAGAGGGTATACGAGCAATTTGACATTGCAGAAAAGCTGTCAGAAGGAAACACCATGGAATAGAGGAAAGAGGCTGGGAATCCAACCCCAGGAACTGTGACAGCCTCTGGGTGAGATCTTTGGCTCTGTTAATTGACAGCTGTTGTGGAACATATCTGAGTTTCCGTTTCCTAATCTGTGAAATGGAGAGCATATTCTTTTCCTCTTGGGGTTCGTGTAAAGATTTGGAAACGGTAGCTAGAAAATGAGTGGCACGGACAAAGCAGGAGCACAACAGTGGCAGTGATGATCCCTGTTTTCACATACATACCAAGACTGGTCACTAAATGGCTGGAAAGCCATTTACATGTTTACTCTCTCTCTCTTTTTAATCTTCCAGGCACCATTGCTCACATTTCCCTTGAATTTAAACATCTTTTAAAAGCTTTCAAAGCTTTGAAGGTTGATTTCAACGAAACCTGTTTTTATTCTAGGCGTTTTTTCGACTGTCATTCTGAGTAAAACAAAAAACATTTACTGTCAAAACAACAAGGGCTTACTCTCAAGCACAAAATGAAAGCAGATATGTCTGCCTGATTTATTTTGGCATCCACCTAGCAGTTAAATAGGACACCTTTTAATTTGTCACTTCTTTAAGATTCATTTATGTTGGCAAAGTAAATCCCCAGTGCTTGGTTTCAGCTAAACTTCAACGAGTTGGGTAAAAGAGTTTATTCTTTTTCACCCAGACACAGAAGCTTTGAAAGGTGCCAGTTAAAGATGGAACTATGTATTGAGCAGTGTAAGACAGTAACATCTAATGGATTTTTATTTTTACTTCGAATGGGAGGAACTTAGAAATTGAACTTATTACCAAAGATCCACTAGCAGTCTGAGAAGAGACACAGAAGGTCAATGTTTTTCAAAAAACCTAGGTAGAACTATTTCAAATAGTGAATATCCAGTTATTTTAAAATTAGACTCAAGTATGAGTAAAGAGACCCAGTATTCAAATCTCAACTCTGCCATTTGCTGGCTGGGGAAGTTACTTAATTTATCTGAATCTCAGTTTCTTTATCTATAAATTGGAAAATATCTATCCCTTCCAGGTTGTTTAGAAAATTAGCTGAGGCAATGAACATAGAGCAACTAGCATCTGCCTGGCACATACTAGCTATTCAACATGTGCAAATCACTGCTTTTATTAAGAAAAACTTCTGGTTTGCCGTGGTGGCTTTCGCCTGTATTTCTAGCACTTTGGAAGTCTGAGGCCTGTGGATCGCTTGCTTGATCTCAGGAATTTGAGACCAGCCTGGGCAGCACAGTGAAACCCCATCTCTACAAAAAAATACAAAAATTAGCCAGGCGTGGTAGTGCGTGTCTGCAGTCCCAGCTACTTGGAGGGCTGAGGCGAGAGGATTGCTTGGGCCCAGGAGGCTGAGGTTGCAATGAACCAAGATCACACCACTGCACTCCAGCCTGGGCAACAGAGTGAAACCCTGTTTCAACCAAAACAAAACGAAAATGAAAACAAAAACTTCTGCAACATTGTCTAACAATTCAGTCCAAGATTGAGCATTTCTCACTGTATGGAAGTTGTTTCTTCTGTCTACTCCAAATTTACTTGGCTAGAATCTAAGCCCATTTTCTCAAAGTTAGCAATAACATCTGTTTAATACCTTCTTTGTAACAAGGCCAGATTGAGGGCTTTTGTTTATGCAGTCATTAACACAACCATTTTTAAACAGTGCTGTTTTTTTGCATCTCAATGACCTAATTGTAATCTGGCTGATTATTTGATTTAGTTACAAAAGGAAATAAAAATCACACACACACACACACACACACACACACACACATGCACGCATACATACATATGTACACAACACCCATGTATATTCATTTTTTTTCTGTTCTTCAATACATACAATCCAGCTTCAGGCCTTTTTATTTTGGTGTGGATTTCAAGGGGAATGTAAAGATAAATACTTCCTTCTTGAGTCCCTTAAAGCAGATGACCTTCAAATGAACAATGGGGAACCCTTGACACTCTAGATTAATCTCCGTTTTCCAATCAATAGTTTAATTGGTTTTTTGTTTTGTTTTAGGGGAAGACACAATCCACAGGGCTAGTCCCAGAGTCTTTCCCAGTTTCAAAAGTCCCATGCTAAATGTGGTCCAAATACCACATCTACCCAGGGCTTGCTTTTTTCCTGACAACATCCTCCTTTCTGTCTGTGGCTGCTTTTCCAAGCATAGCAAGTACTTGAATTCAACTGAGGGCTGACAAATTGACCTTACTCCCCAATGAAGCTTGCTCTTTTTAGCCCAGGGCCAGGAAAACAGAGGCTGTCACTTGGTCAGATGGAATCTTAGGCAAAGCAATTTCCTCTTCCAATCCAAGCCTGAATATCCAGTGAAAACTTGTAGAATAAAGCCAGGCTAAGGTGTTGTTCTCAAACATGTTTATTTGTAACAGTTTTACATGGTGTGTTACAGAAATTAATGGAAAATTTCTAAAAATTTTGCTGTTCTGTTGAATGCATTGTACATAAAGTTAAAAATAATGTGTCCATATATGTTAACAAACTGTCATCTGAGGTAAAGTTAAAGTAGGTCTAGAAATGTACTGCAACAGTCATTTTCTCTTTCTCATCTTTATTAAAAAAATATGTGTCAGAACGCAGAAATTGAAATGAACCAAACCCACAGAGTAAACATTTGTTTAAAAGAAGGTGCCCGGTACATTACATGATGGGGTTTCAGGAGACACTGGGATGAGTACGAGCTATCAAAAAAGTTTTGCGGCATGTAAAGATTGAAGAGCTATGGAGAATGGGGACAAAATGACAGGTGGCGTTTCCCTGGTTTCAAAATTTAAAGTGACAAATTTAGTGCTAGTGGAGGATGAGGAATTAACAGCTGTACACATGGATTTTCTATTGATCTAACCAGAACTGTGCAGACTCCCCATGGTCTTTTGGTATTGGCACCTCAGCTCTTGCTTGGAAATTTCACTGTATCCCTGGGACAGGATACGGTGGTTCCGGGCTCACCAAACAGTGCTTGGAAAAAAAAAAAAAAATCAGAATGCTGCCAATGAGAATATGGATGGCAGTTGAAAAATCTTGACTTTATTTCCCTCACTTTAATGCATCACTTGGGCATCTTCTTGAAGTTCAGAGCCAGTTATATTTTCAATCATGTTCAATGAAGGAGGACAAGTCCCCTAGACTTTCACCTTCTGCTAGGAAATTAACTCCAGATGGTATACCTGAAACAGCAACATCAGCCAGAGTTCCCTTTGAATATGTCAGAAGCAACTCAAAGAATTGGTACAACGGTGTGATACTGCAAGACAAACTCAAGACAGCCATATTGAGGGAGAAGATAGCACCACTTGTTTAGAATCAAATCATAGACAACAAAGCAATTTAAGCAATTTCCCATGGGAACTGCGTATCTTATCAAATCCCCAGAAAACAATTGAACTGGTCTCAAGCCAACTCTTACAGTCATTCCACCTTTCCCATCTTCCCCTTCATGTGAAAGGGCTACCTAATCATAAAATGTTTGCTCATTCCTTGAGAAACTCTGTGGACCAACAGGTGATAGCTACAGAGGGAGGTAAACGGCCCTTCTCACTTTTCTGGTTCTTCGGACCTTCCACATTAGGATGACATTGACATATATTCTTGAATAGACATTTGGTCAGTTTATCTAACTGAAAAAAAAATTAGACTCCTGTGACCTGATAGTGTAAAATGTGGGCTTTAAATGATAACCATTACCTTGATGTATCACTTTTCTCTTTGTGAACAAGTATACAATCATTTTCAAATCAATCTCCCAAATCATTTTAGTTTCTATTGATATGAAGAACCAAATACAGGCCTATTCAAATCAATCATATCAATGGAAATTCTACTTTTCAAATCTTAAAACCAAATAATAATTATCCCCAAATCCAATTAATCACACGAATCTTTAAAGTTTTCTTCTTAGTGTTAAAACACTAAATTCAACATACGGTAACTGCATAGGAACATCAGGAAAACACACTTGACCTGTATAACAATTCTCTGTAGGGCAAAAATATATAGATTCTTTATGAAAATCATGTGCTAAACATACGAACCAAACACTGCACTTTTTGTCTCATAAGTGTAAAAAAAGGAAGCTTAGCCTCTTCTGTTTCACGTACAAACAGTCCAGTGATTTATATGGGGTAGGTGGGAGGGGGGAGGTGGGAGAGTTTCAGAATCTGAATTCTTCAGAATGTGAATTGTCTTTTTCTTGTGTTGCACAGAGGGTGGGGACTCTCGTGGAAAGGCTAGATGATGGAGTCACGTGCTCCCTTCCCGTTCACTAGCTGCTGATTGGCCAACTGCTCGTGCCAGCGGTCCCTGCACTCCAGCTTCCTACCATATGCTCCAGAATAACATCTGGAAAGTGAGCCCCATCCATCAAGTTTGTCACACCTTGCACTCAATCTGCTACCTTCTCTACAGTGTAATGGCATTATTAAAAAGCATTTTCATTAACATTTATATTTACAAAAAAAAAAAACCACAATTTTTTTTTCATTAGAACTCCTTAAAGCCATTTCCCTTAAATATTTAAAGAGTTTAATGGTAAGGTTTTTTTTTTTTTTTTCAAGTTATAAAATAAAAATCCCATTTGAATTTTCTGATGTACAAAAAGAGATAGAGATGAACCATTTGGACCACGGAATCAGTTTGTTATTCTGAATATGTATGCCACCATTGTTCCTTTAGAAAGTTGGTTTTTAAGATCCAAAACCACATTACCAGAATTGTACCAGAATTATTTGGCAAATGACTTTTCTTTGAAAATGGCACGTGGAGAAGACACTTGTCTGCATAGCATCACAGCAGCAAGATATCGGAAAAATAAAAAATATCATTTTATTGTACTTAAGAGTTTAGAGCTTCTTAAGAAATCAGATGCATTTTTTCATCTTTCTCATCAATGGGATCTGATGTCTTTTCCTACTCACAGAATGAAGGTTCAAACTGAAAGCTGTCTTTCTTCACCAGGATGCAGAATAGCTAAAGGATTGTTTTGGCAACATTCTTGATCATAACAAATAATCAACCACTTATTTGTCTTGTAATTTCAAGTTAATTCATTTCACTGAGGCTTTTTTTCTCCCCAGTTAGATTTCTTCACCCATATCTTAAAAAAGTCAAAAGCAATACAAAAATTTGTACACCTACTAATTTTCAAACATGACAAAGAAAGGAAAGGGGGGAAAATGGCAGACCAGGCCCCATGGAGTGACAAAAAACACATCATCCTATGTGAAAAGGCATATGGATGATGATATTGTGGTCACAGAAGACCCTTTGCTTTTGCTTAAAGAAGTCAGTTCCAACCCTGTTGTAATCCTCTGATGCCTGTCACTCCAAATTTGGTGTCTCAACAGTGGTCAACAGGTAGAGAAATTAAAAGGGAATTAATAATTTTGCACACTGGGTCAACTTAAACCCAGCTATGAGGGCTCAAATATTTGTTGGGTAAGCATTTGCTTGATTTGTGATTTAATGTTGGGTGGATCTTTCTATACTTTTCTGTGTGTGCTGCCATAGATATCTGCCATTGGTTGCCAAAAACGCTTAGTTCCCTCTTCTGAGCGAGTTCCATTGGGCAATCATGAATTTCTTGTGGGATGAGGTGAAAGAATACAAGAGAGCCTGTCGTGATGCTGATGTCCATGCCAGTCTTGAGCACCCACCACGAGCTCGCATCGATGCTATTTCTTAGGTCTATTGATCTGCGCGTAGAGAGGCTCCGGCTCCTGTGGATAAAGGAACAAAGTGAGGCCTGCCCTTTCCACTTGCATGGATTTTCTGAGACAGCTTTTGGAAAACGGGTTTAGGATTAAAACAGAAAAGTGACAGTTTATGATGGATGACCTTAGGTTATTTTTGGAGTATTTGATGAGGGTGCATATCATTTTGGCAACACTTTTATCATCCAAAATAGCTATGCACTCAGTTCTGTCTTTCGTATTCAAGTTGGAACTGATTGCCCTGTTAGGGAAATAGCATGGTATAGTAGGGAGTTAGAAAAGCTGTGTCATGTGGACAAGATACTTATCCTGAGTCTTGGTTTCTCCAACCACAAAATGGGAATAATACTGTTTATCCTACAGGGTTCTTGAGGGAATTAGAGATTGCATATCTAAAGTATCTAGCACAATGCCTGGTAGCAATACATCTTCAGAAAATGCTAACAATTACTGTGAGTCAAGTGGACATTTTTCCAACACAGTTTCATAAATGTCCACTTGAGAACCCTGAAATTCTATTTAAAATTACTCTTCTACAAACAGTGATGCCTGGGTGCACTGTTGAGCAAGAGAAACAGCAAGTGTGTCTTTGGCTTTTAATTACAAGCTTCTGGACTTGTTTCCATTCAATCTGAGACCTCCGCTTTAGCCAATCATTTGCCTACACCCAGGGGGCTATCCCGAAGCACAAACAGGGATTTTCAACCAGCATGTAATGCAGCAAACCTGCAATCCACACCTAGGTAGGAAACAGTGTTCCACCCTATTTAAACCACGTCAGACTTCAGCTGATGTTGAGATGGCTCACTGTGCACTGGCCAAGAAGATTTGATGGATACGGTGGTTTTAAGCATGCACAGGACCTGCTGTTAAAATTGACCTTTTGCTGTCACTCTTGGAGGTCTGTGCCAGAATTAAATGGACACCAGGAAATCCTAATTTTACCATATTTTATATATTAGCTTGTATCCTGCCATGCCATATAGGTTATTATTATTTGCTTATTTTCTTGAAACTTCAAAATGAATTGGCATTCTGGGAGCCCCTACCATGTGTCTGGCACCATGCTAGGTATTTTCAAGCACACTGTCTTTTTATCTCATCACAACAGCCTTGTAAGGCAGATGCTTTCTCTCTTTTGCAAGGGTGAAATTAAGTACAGAGAAGTTAAATAATTTGCCCACGGTCACACAGTTTAGTAAGTCCAGAGACATGAGAACTGAAAACAGGGTCCAGGGGCCAATGCTTTTTCTAGTCTTTTACAACAGTGACCATTAGAGACAGAGAGAGAGAGAGACCCCAATCCTTCCATCTGTAAGTGCTTCAGAGTTTACAAAGCACCTCATGTCTTATTTATCTGCCTTATAGTCCTGGGGATGGCTTTTATTTTTTGAGTCCTCCCTTTGCAGACAAAAACTGAAGTTCTGAGAGGTTGTGTGATCTCAAGGTCATTGTGCTGTCTCTCGTGTGTAGCATATCATATTGCTTTCTACTGTAAAGTGGAATGGCCTAGAAGATAAGGTTGTCCCGGCCCGTCATTGTACAGATGAGGAATCTGAAGTCCTGTGAAGACAGCTTTTGTTTCTTCAGAGTCACAGGGTTACTTAGTATCCATGCCAAGAGTAGACCCCAGGACTCCTGCCATCAGATCCAATTTCTGGTTCCTCTAGAACTTGTTATGTTTCTATTCTTCCAATGGGAAGGAACTGCTTTCCTTGAGGCACCCTATTATGCAGTGTAACAAAGTGCCAACTTGTCCCTCCATGCCTTCCACCCATAGACTTTCTACTGCCCTTGGAAATGTAAATAAGTATAATCCTTCTTCCAAATGTCTGATGACAGAAAAGTATGGAAGCCCATTCTTCCATGCCCTACTTCTAGGTTACCACTTGCCAGTTTCTTCTGCCATTTTACAAATATGAACCTAGCACAGTAGGTCCTCAATGAGAGTCTGTTGAATTACTGAATGATTATAATGCTGTTTCTAGTTTCCTCACAGTTCTGATCCCTTTGTCCTAAATACACTCCAATTTGGCTTTATTCTCTCAAAATCAAATGTAGCAAGATCTATAGTAAGATTATGATTTATTAAACACCAAAGCTATTCCTTTCCAGTCTGTTGAACGATTTCAAATACCTGTTGTAAGGCTAAACATGTAACTTTACTGCATGTTTGTGTTCTATAAGTGCGGTGGGTGGAGTCAAAAATAGTTAAGTACAAGTACTGGAGAAAAACATTTTTTTTTTTTTTGCTTGTGCTGGGCTTCAAGGACGCATCTTAATGTTTCCTGGGTAGACGTTCTCAGCCCATTCTTCTTTTTGGATGCCCCAAGAAGTCAGGCTGCCTTGATCTCACCCTACAATTTGCTCTATTCTAATTTTGGAAACCAATTTATCCAACTGAAAATGACACCTAAAAACAGAAGAAGACAGCAGGCTCAGACAGGGTAATTAATGCCACACTGCATTAACTTTCTGCAGCTGAGATAAATATTCACACATCTCCTGCTTGCCGGAATTTAGCTTCAAATACCCATCACAACAGCAGTAACGACTGCAGTCAACTCTCAATTATCCCCACTAATGAAGGGGAGCAGTGGTGTGGAAAACCCCAAGCAGCAGATAATCCCAAAGTCTGACACTGTGATGCATTATACGTTTTGGCAATAGCTCTACCTTCCTTGTTACGGAATCTTAGACTGTCAGAATTAGAGGGGAGCTAAGGAATCATTTGATTCAGAAATTTCCAACCTGGCCTCTGGCAAGGTCATAACGGGGTCTTGGAACTATTTTCAAAATTCCAAAAGCCTAAATGGAATCACACATTAACATAACATGCTGTTGATGTTTTTGTTTCGTTTGTTTGTTTTCTTTTGGCAGATTTGTCCACGTCTCTGCCCTGCTTCAAATCCTTCAGAGGCTCCCCATCACCCACAGGGTAGGTCAAAGCGCCTTCGCCGGGCACACAAGGCCCATTAGTCTCTTAGTCCATTAGAGATAATAAATACCCCTTCTAGACCATAAATCAAAACTCTACCTTCAGGTCACGTAAATCATGTTAAAAAAAATCTTTCTTTATGCTTCTCCAGGATATCTTTCTGAAATGGATTTGTCCATGCCAGTCTCCTGCCTGGAACAGCCCTCCTGGCTCCTTGTCACTCAAAGGAAAAGGCAAACTCTTCAAGACTGCACATAACATCCACCTTGCCAACTACCCTCATCTACTGCCACTCTGTCCTACATCCTACCTTCCAAACCCTACTTGGGGTTCACCCTCCCATGCTGGAATTTTCCCATCTCTGGGACTTCATTCAGGCAGTTCCTTCTGGCTTCGGAGCCTTCTTTGTTCCTGAAGTTCATACTTTAAGATCTAACTGAAATAACAAGGCTTCCTGGACGCTGCAGGTGACATGAGCCACTGTGCTCCTGGATACTTCAGAATCTGTGCAGATCTCTGTCTTCACTCCTACTATGGCATCTCCTAGCATGTTCTACACTGAGCTCCACTGGGCCTTGCATGTCAGTATCCCAAATTCTGAATGAAGCTTGGAACATGGGAGGTGCATCCACTAACAATATGAAGAATGAAGATATGAATGAGTAAATGAACAGTTCTTTTCTTAGTGGAAGTTGGCAAATACTTGTGAACTTTAATATGATTCTGACATATTAATATCTTTATTTTTAGATGACAAAGTAGATGGAAACCATACAGTAAAAGTTAAAGCAAAATCCACCCTCTACCCTTTCTGTAAGTGAAACACCCTATTTTCTCAAAGGTGCAGTAAAAGAGCAGAAGCAAAGGAGACTAAGTCATGCAGGCCTAGCTTAGTGTTCTCCTGACAAGGCTCTGCTGCAAAGACCATCAGGGACATATCTGTAGTTGAACATGTTGGGTTATTCCTCACCACAGAGGGAGGAGCAATGAGGCATCTCTGGAAGAGGGTATTAGAAAGAATGTATGATAACATTTGGTCTTAAGGTGAGTGATCTGGGGGATGGTCAACAAAGTGGGGTTTTTCTCTGAATTGGATGCTGTCATAATGTGGGGGTAATTCTGTGATTATCCTAACAATATTTATCTGGAAGGCAAGAAGAACAGAGCAAGGCTGAAACCAGGCTAGAGAAATGTTTCATCAGTTTTCCCGTTTTGACAATGTTCATTCTTTTGCCTGTGTTCAGCCCTGATGACCTGGTGGTCTTGATTTTGTCTTGACCTATCGCGGTCACTGAGGTGCCTTGTCTGAGGCTGATGGTATGTGAAACGTTGATGCTCAGCAGGAGAATGCCAGGACCTTGCTGTGGGGGTGGGCCTGCACCTGACTGTCAGAGGCTGCTGTTCTTTTTCTTACCATCATGCATTTAGCAGCCCTAGGATTCTGTGCAGGGCACTTAACGTCTTTGGGTGCCAGTTTCCTCACCTGTAAAATGAGGCTAGAAATCCCCTCTGTGAAGGGGAACGCATGTTGATTGTCTAGCACAGAGTCTGAAACATATGAGATACTCCAAAAAACATTAGGTCCCTTATGTCTGGGAGTGTGGCTTCATCCTCCCTTTATAGACAATGGTTTTAGGCCTAATAATCACCTGTGGGTTTCGTTTCAAATGGCCTCTCCTTCATAGCACATAGGTGCAATTGCAGATGAGCTCTCAGTTATTAATATAAGAATGGTGCTGGATCAGCCCAGGGAAATTGTGCAGAATGAATGTGGAGTTAATGCAAACAACCTGGCTGCAGGCCCCTGTGGGTAACAGAAATTTCCACCGTTTGCAGACTCCTCCATACATCCTTTAACTATCTATGAATTATGTGCTCAACTACAGCAGCCAAGTGGACTCACAGACTGGAGTAATAATGGTATATCTCTACAGAAACTTTTACAGTCTATATATGGTCTTTCCAATGTCACATGATCTTACTTGAGCTACACACCAGGACCGTGCCTTTAGTGCTTCTGTTTTCATTTTTTTTTTTTTTTTGAGACAGAGTCTCACTCTGTCGCCCA